CCTGCAGTTGGAGCAGTTAAAACAGGAGAACCATTGTTCCTTAAACAGCAGATGAAAATAATTTGCCATGTAATTTCATGGTCGAATCCAGGAAACACCAGAAATAAGTGACGGCATTAACATCAAAGGCGTGCATTGTGAGTTATGTAACTCATAAGAGCATGTGTCAGTGCTACCTGAGAATATATTAGCCACAATTTTGAATCTCAAATACATGTGCCAGTCGATGCACGAATCCCCAACCTATCTCGGAAGAGAGGCTGCAGGAAACAATGAAATGTGAGGAGCACAGGCAAGGGGAAATGCCAGCTTTCCTGCCTAGTTGGCCTGCTCCATATTATTGGAGACTTCCTGTTCAAAGTCCTCTTGATGGGTTCAAAGGTCAAATCACTCGGAGCAGTTTATACAGTCAAATAAACAGGAGCTTTTCGGAATTTCACCACAATATCTGGACTTATTCAGACTTGTTCTATAGATAAGATCTTGAAAACTATTATCTCGAGCCCATTGGAAAAAATGCAAGGAAGGTTCAGTCCTGAGCTAAGAATCCTTCAGCCTCTGGTTGAACATATTTGTACCAGAAAGTGGTGCACACCACATCTGGGCAATTCAGACTGTGTTATGCACTAAGCTGACTTTCAAACAGTGCACATATTTGGACTCTGGTTGTGTTTTGCTACGGGATATAAGCCCCACCCATCATGTACTCTAGCAAGACTTAAACAAACATCCAGTCCTGTGAAGCTCAGTCCCTGTCAGGTTCCTCTTAACCAATTTTCATTCATCTGCAGAAAACAGATTAAAAAAAAGCATGTTTACATTGTGTAGAACTTGTAGAACCCATTTGGAATTTTTAAAATCCTTCCATAATTATCTGGGAAAACACAGGAATGTTTTTTTTCCTGGATGCCAAGGGACAGACAAAACAAAGCTGCCTTATAAAGACATAGAGTTGAAGTAAAAGGGCCTGGCTGGTGAGATATACACACATACTGTAAGCTTACAGGACCATCAGAACTACAATATACAGAGAGTCTTTGCTCACTAATGTCCGTTTGAAATAGCTTCCTGTGATCATCATTTTGTCTGAATTTCAGTTTTATTTAGAAGTAGACAGTAGTGGCTCTATGTCCAAGCTCTCCCAACATCTACCCTGGTGAGGAGCTCTTAAGCACGACACTCAATCCCTATCATTTGTAGGGGAACTCCTCAGTATGCCTGACTTGTGGCATCATCCCTATGGGCTTCAATTAAGTATCAATTTAGAGAAGGAGCGAGCAATCACAGTTTAAGAAAATGTATTTTGATACTATAACTCCCTTCTGGGCTGTACCCGCTGTATTTTCCCGTCATGAGTCATTTTTAATCACACATCAGTTGATTCTCCTACATAAACACATGGTCCAATGGACTGTGTTGTACAGTTTGAGTCCAAGGAGTCTTATCTGCTGACTGGTCAAATCAGGCAAAATTCCCAAGACCCCTACAGGAATTTGGCTTGAACTTTTATCCTGCCAGACATCTCTACAAAGAAACTGGGCATCTGCTGGGCTCTATTTAGAGACTGGGAGGCTCTCTGGAACAGGCCACACAGTTCAACCCCAAGTCAAACAAAGTAAATGTCAACTTGAACAACCATGTCCTGCCACACTGAGGGGAAACAAGCAATCTTTCCCAAACCCTGCCTCACATGCAGCCACTGGGGGACTGGATTACCTTCTCAACATGGTAAGCATTTAATGACACAAGTAGAAATCCCCTGCACAGCAGTGTAATTCAGTTGGTTGCTAATGAAACTCAGGCAACGGGAGAGTCACTAAAGGAAGGCAGGCGGCACAATAAAGCTCAGCTTTAGACCTCATTTTCACAAGTTCTGAAAGAGCAAAAAAATTGTGCTTTTCAATGATTGGTGAAGCACACACAAAATTCTCTTCCAGTGCTTGTGAAAATGGTCAAATAAATTAATTTTGTTAAGTGGGTCTAGGGCTGAGCTTTGGTGTGCAGCAAGCCTTTTTCATTATGCCATTATACCTTTAACTGTGAGGTTCAATACCCACGTGTAGCGTAAAATACACCCAGGAGAGATGTGCAGATGTGCCCCAGACATACTTGTTTTGGATAACTGTACCAGGACAGACCATTAGCTGCCTCATGCCCTCTGAATCCCTCCTTCGAGCGGCCCACTACCACTGAGGCAAACACACCCACCCTCAGACTACTGGAAAAGGAGCAAAAAGGAAGCACTCCTGGCTGGTCACACCCTCTACAAATAACAATCTGCACACGCCATCTCCGGACCGAGCTGTCTAGCAGGAGGGAAAACAAACAGAGAGAAAAGAGAGTTGGGAAAATGAGGCCCGGTGCTGTCTGGTTCCTCTCAGGTCTTCTTGCCTGGCTTCCAGAGCTACTGTACACACCACCGCAGATTATCTAATTTAAGAGGTATGTCTACAAAAACAATGCTAACCACAACTGCCTTGTCTTCTATGAAACATGTACACTTGTTTAGCACTTTCTCCTCTTTCAGCCACACAAACAGTTAAATATATGTACACTTTGGAGTTCAGGGCTGCGAGTAATGATTATTTTATATATCGAATAATCTCTCAATTTTTTTCTCATTTAATCAAACTGTTTGGTCTAAAAAACATCAGAAAAATCACACTTTCCAAAAGCAACAGGGCTGGGCAATAAATCCATATTACATTGATTGTGATAGATAGATATCATCTTAGATATTGGAGATCATAATATTGTAATATGGCAGAAGAGTTGTCATTTCCTGCTTTTAAAGGGTGAATTACAGTCAAGTGGTGTCATTTTCTGAGCAGACTAGCTGTTCTACTATTTGCCTCTACCCACTTAGTGATGATTATTTATCAAAAATCTCATTGTGTAAATATTCTGTAAAAGCACCGATTGTCATCCCTACAATATTGTTGCAGTATCAATATTGAGGTCCATGTCAAATGTCTCCTTTTGTCCAGCCAACAGTCCAAAAGACAAAGACACTCAGTTCTTCTCATTTTAGATACAAATACGACACCCCATCTTTAGGAGATAAGAGAGGTGGGTACCAGCACACCCAGAGCATTCTGGTCCTTCCTCAATTGACCTCACTTTACCAGAAACTCTAGTCTTTAGGCCCCATTGAGATTTATTCGCTGTCTCTTTTGTGTTCGGACTGAAAGTGAGTTTGAGTATTCTGAAACTGGAGCCTGAGTGAGTATTGAAGAACCCCTCCTCCACTTGGTTACCTGCATCGGGGCACATTTTAGTGCCATTCCTATGACTTTTGCTTGCCTAGCAATTACCTGCTATGTATCCTGTCTTACACTTTGCTTAAGAGCAACTCATGCATAAGCAAGAGGAACATGCAAACGTACTCATTTGCCTACTTTAATAGAAAACTGCAGGGAAACCTGTTGAAATGTGCCACTAAGCAATTTATCTTTACTAAACTAAGGCAGACTTTGCCTAAATGTTCGGTGCATTACACTTGGTCATAATAAACGGATGAATATTATGATTGTCCTCAGGAATCACAAACATTTTGGTGTGGAGGACATTCCTGCTTGTAAGTAAAAGTAAGCTCTGTAGCTCACTCTTGTTGGCCATAGAAGGGAAACCATGCAGCCGACAGGAGAAACCGGCATCGTTAAAATCTTTCAAATATTTATTCTACAAGTCATTACTGGCTGTACGATTCTGGGACTTGATAAACTCAGTTTAGCAAGCAGCACTGAGAAATGACAACAAGTGAGAGGATGATGAGGAAGTTTCTCCTTTAAGGATCAATAATGTCTTATCTTATCTTGCTGATAAAGAATAACAGTGACCTAAAAAAAGACTGTTCATCCTGCCTCTTCTACCAGGCTTTAAGACAAAGTTAGCTAACTTGAACAAACCGAAATTCCTTTTTGTGACCACAATATTTTGGAGTTTTGTTTTTTAGACAGAGGAAAAAATGCACCCAATTTCCACAAATCAAAACAGCTCATGCAATCTACTTTCATCCTCATTCTTCTGCAAACTTCAATATGTTAACCAGATATTAAATGATCCTGAATGATCTTTGGCTTCTAGATAAGAGATGTAACCTGTGATTCAGGGACATACTTTTGTTGTTTTTTTAGACATATATGTGCTTAAATTGGGTTTTAACTGGATATTTTCAGACTACTTTTCTTAACTTCCTATTGTGCTGTGAAAGACCTACTATTAGAGAAAACTCTCTTATTGCAGACAAAGTTCCCTTACAGCAGAAAGCTAAACTAATGACATCTACTGTACCAAACTCCTGCTGAGCAACTCCACTAAAAGCTGACATCAGGGATCAGTTTGCACTTTCATTACAGATGGCAGAGGTGAGGAGAGACAATGGGGAAACTGATTCCAAGCCACAGCCCCATCTGAAACCCTCTCTCCATTCACTAAGCATGCTTGGCACTGAGCCACTGAAACACAGCTGATAAAAACCGGCCTGTGTGACTCTCCTCTGCAGTAGGACTGTGAGGTCCAACTGCAGGTAATACTGTGAGAGTGTGAGTGAGTGAGAGTGAGTGTGTGAAGTTAGGGTGGAGTCTCACACGGAATTCTTCAGAGGGAATTACAGGTTTGATCGGAAGAAGGCATCAAATGAATGCAGACCAGCCAGCAGCTCTGTCCCAACAACTTTAAAACAAACCGCATATTGTTGCCGCATTCAAGAGCTACTCAAACCACCGACAGCGGCTCAGACATACTCTATACTGTTTCACACGTCAAACACAGGTTCAGTGGCAGCATTTACATAGATGACACGGTGGGTTTTTTGGGTTTTTTTTTTTTGGAGAGACGTGTTCATTCATAAGTGGCCACCAATGAGCAACAGGTAGCACCTGTAGAGGGACTTAAAATAACAGGATTTCAGTGACGGGAACCTTCATTCCCCCCCGTGCTTATTAGGCATTCCGTGGATTTACAAAAGGTGAATGGCCGCTTTAGGGGCTGGGGCTTACCTGAGTTTTAGGTTAGACATGAATTCTTCCATAGACACGTTGTCCAGAAGCACAAAATCTGCTTTTCCAAACTCCAGGCTCTCGTGCTCTGCCATGGTGATACGCCCTTTCTCTCACTGAAGAATGCGGGAAATTATTCTTTTCTTTCTTTTTTCTTTTTTAACAACTTGCTTTGAAGTGCCGACAGAAGGTGAACATTGGCGGGCTTCTCCGAGCACCTCCTCTCCTCAGTGGACAGCTGTGTGGTCGATGCGCATTTTCATTCGTCAAACTGCAATTTCAGTCATGTTGAATTAAAAAGGAACAAACTGGTTGAAAATACCCTGTAGCTATTAACGTCTTCTGCCCTTAAACGTCCGGGTTTTCTATAAGAAATAGGAAATTATCCCAAAATATCCTCATGTCCATACAAAGTTTCCTCTTAACGCCGAAATGTATCCTTGTCCCGTTACACCGTGCGTCCCTTTTCCTGGAGTTTTCTCTCCTGTCGTCCAGACCGACCATCCGCCAATAGGGTTGGAGCCGCCTCTTCCAAGCCCCGCCCCCCCCCCCGCTGCGGAGAGGTGTTGGTCAGACTGGCCCTGTGTGAGAGCTGAGCAGCACATACTTCTGGGTTAGACCACAGCTCCACTGTTTCTGATACATATTTCTGCGATGACGGGGCCACCTCTTAAGTTGTAAAACACTCGAAGAAAAAAAAAACATAATGTTTTTTGGCCTGACTTTTATGATGCCCTCTGTTACCATAAAAGGAAAAATGAGGTCTCATCAGAATTTACTGAGTGGAATATGAATGAATAAATGGACTGAGAGTGGTTCTGCAGAGGCTGGATCATTCTCAACCAACCTGTCTTTGAACTTGCATCTATTGAACTATCATTGTAACTTCCTCTGATCTGTCCCTGTTGAATCGGAATGAGGCCTCCTGGTTGAAACACCAAGATCAGACTGCCACTAGTTCTCCAGGTTTACACCTTATATGTACTGTTTATGGTTTACACTGATGTTAGTGCGCCATCTTGTGTAAAACAGAGGCAAGAGCATGTTGTAGATACTGTGACTAGACAGCAGTGGTTAAAAAGTAGATACACTAACTCAGGTAGTGCACAATTCTGAGGTATTTGTACTTTACTTGAACTTTACTTCCCATTTTATGCTACTTTACTTTACTACACTACATTATAATATAAATAATTACACCTTTTACTACATCTGACAGCTGTGGTTATAAGATATATAGATCTGTTAACTGGCTAATCAATTAATCTAATCTAAACCGAAACTAGATCAAATAAATAATACTTGTACATTTATTATTATTGTTTCTGTTAGTAAGTAATAAAGTGATCTTCATTAGAAGAATAGCCCAGTTGGAATAAAAGAGATCAAATAATAAAAAAATCCAGATGAAATATTTGCAGTTTTTATTATGTTTGTTAATTTTTTATTGTCTTTAATTTATAGTGAAAGCTGAAGAGTGAGAGGAAAGGGGGATGACACACAGCACAATTATTGACACACACTTTTTATTTCTTTTTTGTTTTAATATTAACATGTAAGCATTAAATCAGACATTTAGGCATTACTTCAAGCATTTAGCTGACGGTTTACAGTCCTTTATCACAAAAACTAGTTGAATATTTGAATTAATGGCAAAGGGAAACTGTAAACTTTGTCATGATACACTCTCCACATGTTGAAATTCTAGTCCCATCCTATTCAAGGATACATTAAGACCTAATGCGTTGTCAAAATGTGTTTACACATACTTTATTTCATTTGTACAAGCAGTGACCCCCCAAATGTGATGGTCATGGAAGCAGCATTGGCCCAAGACCTACCAGAGTTGTGGGTGACGAACACTTTCGCCCCTCTGCGGAGGAAAGTCATGTACATAGACAAGCTACCAACAGTGGAGGGACGGGAGACGTGTGTGTGAGAGACAGCTACCCAGTAACTGTTGATCACCAGCCACAGATCAGTCTTCTGACCAGCGTTGGCTGACTGAGTGGAGAAGAAGAACTGGTAGACTCCTTTGACCGGAGCCTTGAACACGCCGGTTCTTCTGTTGTAGGCTCGGCCCACGTTCACCAGCACCTTGCTGTACTTGATTCTGTTCACCTTGCCTGATAGTTGGCCGGGGTACGAGGCGAAGAAGTGGATCTTTTTGGAAGACACTGAAAAAAAAATGGAGATATTATTGTTATTATTATAAACTGGGGATTTGAAAAAGACCGGCATGCTTTTTCGGTGATTATGGGAAATGTAGGGTCCAATAGCACCAATGTAGGCGATTTTTTCCTCTAACTTTATGGAAGTGCAACACTTAATAGCTGGCATATACCTTTAATCATCAAATTTATCATTTTACATTTCATCAAAAGCAAAAACAGATTTATCCATAAGAACATTTTAAATTAACATATTTCGTTCTTTACGTCTCATAAAGTGACCACTAATTTTTATCAGGTGTATTTTGCATTAATATATATTATATTTACCAGGGGGGCATGGCACATTAGAGACTGTATGAAAATGATTAGGGCTACGAGGGGGCTTTTGATTCAAGGTCTTCTCCAGAATCAATAATTTAAAAAAAATATAATATAAAAAAAACTACAACTACACCCAAATATCTTATATAATAATAATGTAACAGTATTGAGTTGATTGAATTATTTTCATAATTAATAACTAAAATAAAACAATAAATGAACATCTAAACTAATCAGTTGATGCTATGGCCTGATATTTGTGACTTAAGATGCCTGTTTGTCATTCATAACTAAAGAGATAGCATGATGATTTGCAGTACATTTGACAAGGGACTAAAGTCAGACCTTCAGCAAACAGAAATACTTCTCTGACCTTCTGTATGCCCTAAACATTTTCAAGACAAGATACAACTTACTTCTTCTCTTTGTCTTACACCTCCAGTTAATCTTATCTCGGCTCACACAGGACTGGTTTCTTCTGCAGCGCCCACATACAAGTGTGTTGATATCTGAGAACAGACATACAGCATCATTCAAACACTTCCCCCTTCATGTTTAATACTGTCAGACACAGAGGATTTAGATTGTATCAAAAGATGTGCAAATATATCAGGCTGATATTGGATGATTGGGACGGTGAGATCTCTGAAGATGTCTGAGCCTTGAGGAGATTCACCCTCGTTTTATTAGTTCTAAGCGCTGCCTTGTTCAGTTTAACATCATTCACACACTGAACTACTGAAAGATTAAACCACATTAAATTATCTCCTGAGATCTCCTCAGTTTATCCCAAATAGGAAAAATAGTGGTCTAAAATCTGAATACTTTCTCCAGTGGTGAAGAAACATATTGAACCAGACTCTGTATTGATAGTTTTGGGTATCTTATAATGTTCAAACTTAGAGAAGACAGCAACAACCTCTTTCCCACATCTTAATCACAGCTGAAAAAACGTATTCTCAAGTATTTGAAGAAAAAGTCCTACTATTTATCATATGCAATATACTCTTATATATGTAAAAAATAATATTTTCTTTTTTTTTTCAGTAAGACATATTTGAAATTAAAAGAAATCTAAAAGTAAGGATAAAGTATAGGATCAAGTGAAAAATAACTTGGTTTACCAATATGTCTAAATCTGTCTCCACTTCAAAGTTAGGACAGTTACACATTATTTAAAGATTCCACCATTGACAAAATAGAATAAGATAATAATCCTAATTCTTAAAACATTTTGATGGATTCATGGCTGAAAAACCTTTCCAATAATGTTCCAGTGTTCAGTTTAGGACTCAATCCTCATTCAATACCTGCACAGTAAGCCAAATAACAGGATGATGGCTGGTTGAACTTGTAGACGTAGTAGTTGCCGCGGCACTTCTTGACCTGGATGGGGGTGGATCGGAAAGCGCAGCAGTTCTTCTTCCAGTGGCCACACACATTGCGCGTGACGATGCCCTGCCTTCTCTTTGGGTGACGCCCCACCAGCCACAGGGGGGAGTGGGTGCCACATTTGTTCACAGGGACACACCTCTCAGGCATCTGAATACTCCTACCTTTGTAGAAGAGGCGGTACCAGCCTTTGGTAGAAAACAAAAGCATAGTGAAATAATCGTAATTGTCCTCATTGTTGAAGTGAACCCTTTCATACAGATCAATAGCTACCTTTCCATTTAACATTGCGGTCACACATCTTGAACTTGGAGGTGCTGTTGGTGGCACGCCAGGCCTGGTCCAGGACTGTGTGGTGGAAGCAGGGGTCACCCCGTCTCCTCGAGTCTTCCTCAGGCAGGTCTTCCTTGGGCAGGTCTTCCTCGTCATCATTTGAACCATAAGTAAGGACGTTTGTTCCAGCTTGACAAGAGATATTTCCCACCAGTTACCACCAATATTAGGTCTACAGAGTGCAGCAGACTACAGCACATAGAGAGTTGAGAGTGAATGCTGAAAATCATATTTTATGTAAAGAATGTTGTTGTTTTATTGACTGACCGACTTCCTTCTGAGCTCTTTTCTGATGGCTTGTTATATGCATCTGTGAATGAAGAAAATTACACGTTCAGTGGCTGATATACAGCATTTACGCAGATTGTAAGGGAATTACATAGAGTCTACCTGAGTCAGAGCATTCTGCTGCTGCTGAAGTGTTGTTTGTTCACACCTTAGACTCTCCATCTCCTGCAATAGAGCAAAGTGTGCATTTTTAGCAATGACTGGAATGTTGGAACCTCGTTTGAAAAACCGGCAAATTCTTGCAGATTCATAATACTTGAGGATTAACATAATAATGACTGATTCAGATGTCGCGGCTTATGTCAAGTCCAGAGAAGACAGAAGACTTTCATATTTCTGGAAAATTTGAGGGAGTTATTGGCAAAAAGAGGAGACTAGATATCTTAAAATTGGACTGTTTTTATGGCAAAACAAACAAACAAAAATCCCCAGATTCAATTAAATTAAAATAAAATATGACTGATTTAACAATCTCCAAACAGAATTATATGCTCAGAGTCAGGAGAGCTTTAAAACAACATTAATACTATAATGTAGGGAGATGAAATTGACAGAAAATATAATCAAAAGGGAAAAGGACTCTTTTGCTTTCAGACTGCAGTACTACAATTATTTTTATCAATCATAATTAATCTTTTAATCTAATAAGTGTTTGGTCTACAAACAGGGACGCTGGATGCCAGTCAGAGTTGGCGTGCTGAGAGGAAGTCTGTCTATATGACAATGTCTGCTAAATGCTAAATGCATGCATAAATTGCATCAATTTGAATAATCATTCAGAATAATTTATAGCCTACTTAATAGTTATTAACAACTTTTTAGAAGACATTTCTAACTTTTTGCAGATAAAATGGACATAAAACAGGGTAAAACCTTGTTTGAACATTTTTATGAACTAATGGTTTTCATTACATAAGATTTTAGTGGTGCTGCAGCCCCTTAGCACCCATGTGTACAAATGATCAGAAAATAGTGAAAAA